TTTGCTCCTGTATTAACTCTATCCCATTTAATCTGCAGACTCTTTTAGACACTGAAATAGGTATGAAAGGCATGCAAGACTTTATCGTTATGAGACAAAGTTCTATCCACCTCCTTTCCTGGTGAATGCGATGGTACTGATTGTGTACAGCTGACTGGTTGCCTGATGGTACTGGTCCTTTCCCCTTCACCCTGAAGCTGTTCAATACCGAGATAGAGATTATCTCCAGCCGTCCCACATGTGCCCTTGCTGTTCACCCTCAAACATCAGGAACGACCTTGGAAGTGGCACGGATGCTTCTGTGGTTCTGTGAGCCTCTGGAATTCATGCCCCACTTAAAGATCTGCTGCTGTTTCGGGGCCTAGGGCTGGAAAGTGGGACTAATATACTACAGATGCTATGGGCTGAAGAGCCTCTATGGCAGCTCAGTGGTTAGCACTGCTGCCTCATGGCGCCAGGGACCTGGGTTCGATTCCACCCTCGGGTGACCATGTGTGGAGTTTGTACGTTCTCCCCGTGTCTGTGTGGGTTTCCTCCGGGTGCTCCAGTTTCCTCCCACAGTCCAAAGATGTGCAGGTTAGGTGGATTGGCTGTGCTAAATTGCCCAAAGTATCCAGGGATGCCCAGGTTAGGTGGATTGGCCATAGGAAATGCAAGGGTACAGGGTAGGGGGCTGGCTCTGGTTGGGATGCTCTTTGGAGAGTCAGTGTGGACTTGATGGGCCAAATGGCCTGCTTCCACACTGTAGGGATTCTATGATTCTGTACTGTCTGACCCTACGAATGCCTCAACTTCTGAAGTTTATCCTGCCAAAAGCAGGTGAGAACCAATTGGTGAGGAGAATGTTTTTCTGAGTGATTTAGATGTGTTCAGGGAGTGGGCATATATACAGTCTAACATGGGTAAGTGTGAAGTTGTCCTCTTTAGGAGGAAGAATAGAATGGGTGGATCTTACTTAAACAGTTAGAGATTGAGAAACAGCGATGTGCAAGGGATGTCCTTGTGCATCAGTCACTGAAAGCATGCTGTACAGAAGGCAAATGGTATATTAGGAACATAGGAAGAGGCTATTCGGTCCATCAAGCCTACCCCACCATTCAATGCAATGGTATCTGATTGAACACTTCAGTGCTCTGTACCTACCCCTATTCTCATGGCCCTGTAGGCCACAGCAGATATCTGTCAATCTCTCCCTTAAACGTACTCAAAGGCTGGGTTTGCACCGCCCTCTGTCGTGAAAGAGGTTGTTCAATGTGGGAGCAAATCATCATGGAATCCCTACAGCATGGAAGCAAGCCACTCAGCCCATCGAGTCCACACCGACCCTCCGGAGAGCACCCACCCCCCACCATCCCTATGACCCTGCATTTCCCATGGCCAACCCTTCTAACCTGGAAACTCCAAGCAATTCAGCATGGCCAATCCACCTAACCTGTGTATCTTTAGACTGTGGGGTTAAGTCTTACTAAAACTGTAGAGAGCCTTGTTGAGACCACATTGGGCATAGTTTTGGTCCCCTTACCTGGGGAAAGACAGAGTTGCCATCAAGACAGTGCAGTGAAGGTTCACTAGACTGATTTGTCGTTTATTGTATGGGGAGAGATTGGGTTGACTGGGCCTGTTACTCACTGGAGTTTAGATGAATGAGAGGTTTTGGGTTAAATTGAAATATAGGAAATTTGGACAGGGATGGACAGATTGGAGTCAGGGGTAATGTTTCCCCAGGCTGTGGGGTGACCAGAAGAAGGCGTCATGGTGTTAGGATACAAGGCGTGTCAAAGTTAGTATCCCCACCTCTAACGCGGGAGACTGGGGTTCAATTCCCCATCAGGGAACCCCCTATCCCTCTGTGGCACAATGGGTTTGCGTATTTGGTGAAAGGTTGATGGTTTGAAACCGCTCTGAGACGAAAGCATCTCTTGCTTTGGGTGGCATGGTGGCACAGTGGTTAGCACTGCTGTCTCACAGCGCCAGGGACCAAGGTTCAATTCCACCCTTGGGCGACTGTCTGTGTGGAGTTTGCACATTCTTCCTGTGTCTGTGTGGGTTTCCTCCGGGTGCTCCGGTTTCCTCCCACAGTCCAAAGATGTGCAGGCTAGGTGAATTAGCTATGCTAAATTGCCCGTAGTGTTCAGGGATGTGTAGATTAGGGCGATGGGTCTGGGTGGGATGCTCCGAGGGTCATTCTGGACTTGTTGGGCCGAAGGGCCTCTTTCCACACTATTCTCCAGCAGCTGGTGAAGCTGTGGATTCACTGCTGCAGCTAGGCCAAGCATAAAGCCCCTGTGTATTGCTAGAAAAAGCACAACTTTACTCTACAAGCAATTATCCCTTCGCATTCGAATCAGGTCAAACACGTTTAAACTCTACCCTTAGCCCACAACAGTAACGTTTTAACTGTGTGGATGTCGGCCAAATAGCTAAAAATCGGTGGGAAAATAGCCTTTGAATTGCCATGGGCCCGATCGGCAGAATTGCACATTTTGGTTTCTCAGGATTCAAAAATTAAATCAGTGGTAGGAGTCACCATGGCAACCTGATGGGGAGATCCGGTTCCTTGGTTACCGTGTTAACACTGTGTTGTGGTGAGTTACAAAACAAGACCTCAGCTTGCTGGAGTAAGAACACAAACAGGAGGAGACGAAATGTGAAAGAGCAGCAGCTGAGAGGAAAATAAAGCGACCAAGTGTGTGGCACATTGAACAAAGACGATTCTGTAAACCCCTTCAATGTTTCTCAATTATCCTATAGAGCCAGTATTGGGCAACGCTTCATCATCGATATCACTTGAGTGTTACTCATTCTTTTGTTGTAGATCTATCTACTCACAACACAGCTTCAGACAACAGAATTTAGAAATAGAGATAACAAGGTGTAGAGCTGGATGAACACAGCAGGCCAAACAGCATCAGAGGAGCAGGAAAGCTGACGTTTTGGGCCTAGACCGATTCTCCAGCATCGGCAGTTCCTACTATCTCTGAATCGATTTTAACCCCATTGCAAAGCCCCTCTGATGCTGCTTGGCCTGCTGTGTTCAACCAGCTCTACACCTTGTTATCTCAGATTCTCCAGCATCGGCAGTTCCTACTATCTCAGAATTTAGAAATAGCTTAATTCTCACACGCACTTACATGAGTGCAGCGAAATGTTTACAAATCGCCACTTACAGACAAAGGTACCCAGGTCTGGATTCTTAAGTATAAATTCTTCGGAATAAACGTGAAAAATACAAAATCATAGGAATAAAATTTTTAAACACTGGTGAGAAAGATCAGAAGTACAGCCCTCCCAGATCCCATTACCACCGCCTCCCCCACCACCTTTAACCACTTGGCCAGCTGCTAAGGGGTGAGAAATACTGCCCGTCTCTCCATGAGCAGTTCCCATACGCACCCAGTTGGGCAAAACCACCAGCTCCGGCCAGCATGGTACAAACCTAGACTATTTCTTATAACATTTGTTCATGGGATGTACATGTCCCAGGCCAGCATTTATTGCCCATCCCTAATTGCCCAGAGGGCAGTTAAGAGTCAACCCCCTTGCTGTGGGTCTGGAGTCACATGTAGGCCAGACCGGGTAAGGGTGGCAGTTTCCTTCCCTAAAGGATGTCAGTGAACCAGATGGGTTTTTACAATAATCAATGGGCGTTGCAAACTTTTATTGTGTTCAAATTTCATCATCTGCCACAGTGAGGATTCAAAACCATTTTTTTTTTAAATTCACGCACAGGATGTAGGCATCACTGGCTGGGCCTGCATTTATTACCCATCATTCTTTGCCCAGAGGGCCGTAAGAGTCAACCACATCGATTTATCTGATTAAAGGGAGGCAATGGCCTATTATTGTTAGATTATTAATCCAGAAACTCAGCTAAAGTTCTGGGGATCCGGGTTCAAATCCTGCCATGGTAGATGGTGGAACTTGAATTCAATAAAGAATCTGGAATTGAGGGTCTGATGATGACCAAGGATCGATTGTCTGGTTCACTAAGGCCCTTTAGGGAAGGAAATCTGTCATCCTTACCTGGTCTGGCCTACATGGGACTCCAGACCCACAGCAATGTGTTTGATTCCTAATTGCTCTCTGGGCAACTAGGAACAGGCAATATGTACTGGCCCATGAAGCGATATCCACACCTTGTGAGTGAATAAAAGAAACATTGCTGTTGGCCCGGAGTCACATGTAGGTCTGAATGACAAAGTTCCTTTCCTAGACTTGCCCTGATAATCCAGAATAGCTTCATAGTCATTGTTAGACCCTTAATTCCATATTCTTTATGGAGTTCAAATTCCAGCATGGCTTAACATTAGCTGAGTTTCTGGGTTAAGACTCTAGTGATAATACCTCCAGGCCATCACCTCCCCTTAATCAGATAAATCAAGTGCTCTCCTTAGATGAAGTAGGTTTAAAGGGCAGGGAATATTTTGATCAGGACTTGCAAATGTAATCCTTGATTTATTTTAAGGCGACATATTGGCTGCTTAGTTTTAAATGTTCATGAAAAATTCCCCCATCAGCATTTACAATGGATGTTTCCTGCCTAAACAGGACAATGACAACTTCACGGGAGTACCGGTGCTGCAGGGGGTTTTCTTTAAATGTGCCATACAAAATTTTGCCAATTTTCTAATTTAAGATCTTGGAATGTAATTAAGTACATCAGGCACTTTACATTATATTGCAGTTTAGTATGAAACAGGTTGTTCCAAAAGCACCATATTCCAGAACAATAGAAACCATTAAGAAATCACACAAGTCACTTCATAGCCCGTTGATATTAAACTCCCAAACAGTAATGACAAGAGATTAGGAAAGAAAACGTTGTGTAAAAATACAAATATGGGTCACAGACCAACTGTTTACAGGTAGGTTCTTCATATTAACTCAAACTAATTCAGATTTGAAGGCCAGTTACAGGAGTATATCGTTGCAGGAGTTAGTTTGTGTGTTGAGAGTCAAGCTCCTCCCACTCACAGCTATAATTAACACAATGATCCAACCAGGCAATGAGAATGCTGGATGCAATTTAATCAAGGTGCACTTCCCTGACTAGGGTGGGGAAGTTTCAGCCTGAAGTGCTATTCAACTCTTCTAGAACTGCCAAACAAAAACACGGTGAACAGTTTGATGGTTCTGTTTTAAGGTCAGTAAGGAGTGTGCAAGGTAAGACTCAGTGTTGGATTGTGAGGTGTGCTGAAAGCAATTTTAATCATTAATTTTGTGCTTCAGTTTCGTTTCCATTAAGTTGTAGGAGCAATTGCCAAACAATCTCTTCTGAAATTGAAAATCAAAAACTATTCTCTTCATGCTGTTCCTGTATTCACTTTGTGTTGTCAAGAAGAAAATAATTCAAAGATTTAAGAAACAAATGCTGCGTCATTTTCTTGATGAGGCTATAGTTAACTTGGTGTTTATAAATTGATTGAAATGTTGACTAGCAAATCACCTCAGGCTTCATGTGTGAGGCCTGTATTTTTAGGTCAAACTACTTCCTGGTCTATCGTGAAAATTTTGAAAAAAATTCTCTGTGTCTTTCAAGGCATTGCAATGATTTTTATTGTTATCCACAACATTGATGCGATGATTAAATGTGCAGAAGTATGAATTAAGAGTGTGAGTGGGCCACTCTGCCCCTCTAATCTGATCTATAATTCGATAAGATCAAGATCTAATTGTAGCCACAAAATTCCTTCCTTGTCTACCCTCTGTATTCTTTGACTCCCTTGTCAGGCAAGATTTTGTCTCTGTCAGCCTTTAAAATATTTTTAAAAATTACAAAATAAACAATTAAAACAGGAAAGTCGTATATAAAATAACATAGAAGACGGGCTCATTGGTAACTAAGTCAGAAAATCAGCTCCATTGATTTAATAAAATAGAGTTCATTGGAATCTCTGGAAATGGAGGATGAATTTCCTGATAATGGCTGTAAGTAACCCAGGAGAAAAGATATTTTGACACAAAGTAATTTGGTGTTTCCTTGCCGTTTTCTTTGAACTCTTCTACCTATGGGTGCTAAAAGTGATAAGCTCTTTAACAAAGCTGGGTGAAACCTCCAGGAATGTATCCAACCAGAACTGATGTCACCTGATTTATGTTGGTCTCTCAAATATAGGTTGGTTTTTCTAACCATCCATGACAGTTTCCCAGTCACCAATAGCTTTCAGTTCCAGATTTGTTCATTGCATTTCAGTTTTTGCCAACTGCCGTGGTAGGGTATGAACTCCTGTCTCCAAACTGTTAACTTCTGGATCACCAGCCCATTTTCTACGCCACTGCCTCCCAACGAAGAACTCGGTGCATGGGTTTTCCACTGCCAAAGTCCTATAGTAAATCAGGAGATTGTGGTACAACAGTATTCTCAGGGGATTAGTTATCCACAACTTCCCAAGTTCAGCCTCTTGGAAATGATGTGAAATCCAAACACAGTAGGAGGTGAAATTTGAATATTTTTGTTTGAAAGCTGGTCTAATGGTAATATTGTCATTAAAAACCCTTCTGGGTTTCACTAATGTCCATTAGGGAAGGAAACTGCCATCCTTACCTGACCTAGCCTACATGTGACTCCAGGCCTATAGCAATGTGGTTGACTCTTGACTACCCTCTGGACAATTAGGGTTGGGCAGTAAATACCAGTGTGCTCAGTGACATCCACATTCTATGAGCAAGTAAAATAAACAAGCTGGAAAACTGATTTTAAAAGAAGAGAAGGCTTGCATTTACATAGCCCCATTCATGATGTCTCAAAGATCTCAACAGCAAATTCAGTACCTTTTGTGGTTATTATTGTATTGCTGAAAACTGTGCCAATTTAGTGAGCGGCTCAGTGGTTAGCACTGCTGCCTCACAGCACCAGGGACCCGGGTTCAATTCCACCCTCGGGTGGCTGTCTGTGTGGAGTTTGCACATTCTCCCCATGTCTGCGTAGGTTTCCTTCAGGTGCTCCAGTTTCCTCCCACAGTCCAAAGATGTGCAGATTAGCTGAGCTAAATTGCCCTGTAGTGTCCAGGCTAGGTGGTTTAGCCATGGGAAATGCAAGGTTACAGGCTTAAGTGCTGTTTGGAGGATCGGTGTGAACTCAATGGGCTGAATGGCCTATTTCACACAGTGGATTCTATGAAATTACTCCCAGCGCGTTGTCACAAATACAGCGAATGAGAGAAACTCATCAGGTCCGACAGTCTCTGCAGCTGAGAAACACAGTTAACTTTTTGAGTCTGATATGACTCTCCTTCAGTTTTTGGAAGAATACCAGACTCAAAATGTTACCTATTTCTCTCTGTCTCCTCAGATGCTGCTAGACCAGCATTCCTGGTGCTTTGTTTCAGGTTTCCAATACCCTTTGCCTTTATTCAAGTTCCATCAGGTAACGTTGAGATAATCTCTGTGTTTTTGAGATATTAGTTGAGGGATAAGTACTGTTGACGGCACCAGGAACAACATCCTGCTCCTCTTCAAAATAATACCATCCAGGTAAACACGTCATCCTAAAAATAGCAGCACCTCTGACAGTGCAGCACTTCACTGAGGGCCAGGCTTGATCTTTGAGTTCAAACTCTGGAGTCAGACTTGAACTGAGAGATGCCTGAGCATGGAACCATACTACAGCTAGTAGCATTAATGCCACAGCAAAAGCTGGCAATGTTTTTGAAGGTGGTACACAGCTCTGGATATAAACAGAATGGCACGTAGAGATTTATGCTTTTGATTTAAGCTTTATTGTCACCTGTACTCAAGTACAGGAGTACAGTGCAAGTGTATAATGTCACCACAGATGGCGCCATCTTAGGTACAAAGGTGCCTGGGTATAAAAGACTTGGGAACAAGCAGTCACGTAAAGAAATAAAGTTAAAAGTAAAGCATTACCGTTGTTCTTAGCATAAATAGAAAAATAAAGTTAACATTACAGATCTTTCTAGTATTAAGTGGAAACATAAAAGTATGTGGGTAGAAGTTCAACAGTCTTTCTTAAGTGTACTCCCTGCAATGGCTCAGAAAGAACACGGATTTAACACAAACAGATTCTAAACAAGGCCTCACACCTAACATTGAATCAGAGATAGTAGGAACTGCAGATGCTGGAGAATCCGAGACAACAAGGTGCAGGGCTGGATGAACACAGCAGGCCAAGCAGCA